AGTTAGTTTTTTGTGGGATAAAATTCAAACTCCAGAAGTGCTTAGACGGAGGGAGCAGTGCTTAGGCCTAGGGCTTGAGCTGGGCAGAGACAGCGTGGGGGCCGTGGGGGTCTTTAGACCCCCTACCCCTAATATATCATTAGAGCCCCCATAATACCCCTAAAATTGTAATCATATATTTATAGATGAAGGGCTAATATAGACTTTGTTTGAGGTTGTTAGATGGCCCAAAAGGCTAAGAAGGCCAAAAAAATCCTAACCCAACCCTAAATCTCTTTTAGTTGCTCTTGATCATTTTGGTTTAGCCCCGCTATAATTTTATTCTGCCTCCGCTACTGGGCTTGAGTTTAAATGCACATCTAGGAATTCTTTTTAAATAACCATTTTCTCACTCCACTTTACAAAGATAAGCAACTAGTTATTTTCCAAGAAAATATATATATGTGTTGCCCATTCAATTGGTAAGAACGTCGTGTGACCATGTTACCTATCCTTTTTTTTTAGAACGTGTCACCTATCCTATCCTGATGTACTATAAGATTGTTGGTGTGGGCTTGTTGGTGTGGGGGAAAAACGTGCTTGTGAACCCTGATGGTGAGTGACGGGTGCCAGGTATGTCTGCTCTGCAACCTCCCCGTCCCAAGAGCAACATGTGTATATTTACGAAAAATGGTTCCATAGTGCATTGCTGTAAGATACTCGCTTCGTCTCAAAATATAAAGAATCTTGGTTAAACGAGACTAGGGTTTTCAATTTTGAAATTGGTTTTTTTTTGCCGAGGGACCAAATTACCGAAATTTTGGAAATTTTGAAAATTTTTGGCTGAAATTATTTGAAATTTTGACTGATTTTGAATGAATTTAAATAAAATTTGACCAAATTCACAAAAATTTGCAAAAAAGGAAAATTTTGGGCGAGATATGAACTTGCCGGTGGGGGACAAAATTACCGAAAATTCAGAAATTTCGATATGAAATTTTAAACCCTAAACGGGACACACCATAGTAGTACGAAATTTTAATCACTGGGATGTGTTTTATCTAACCAAAATCCCTTATATTTTTAGATAGAGGAAGCATGATATACACGTATACATACACTTATTATCACCAGAAATATCATATACATATTCTTATTCTTATATGCTTTTATTCTAAATATGGATAAAGATAAAGAAAGAATCATGTCCACCTAAGGGCATTCACACTGCATCCGGTCCTCATGCCGTGACCAAGGGAAAAAGACAAAGTACACATCTACAGGCTGAGCAGTGGAGAAAGCAGGGATCAGATCTTCACAGTGCGCCACAGTGTGCTCACGGTGCCTCACCCCACGCACTCACTCAGAATTAGACTGAAGAACGAGTGACCAAAATTGGACACAAGAACTTAAGGGACATATGGCAGTAGCAAACGTGGCACACAATATTTGTTGAGGATCGATAAGGCTGAATGCCAACTCAACCCACTGTGAATGCCCTGAGAGAGGACTAGGAAATCCCATCCACTTAAGGAATGACTAGGTAGTCCAGCACGGTGATTATAAGGTCTCCTATTTGGATCTTGAGTTTTACCTTGACGAGAGGTCATGTTCCGATATAAATTTAGGACCTAAGTTCGAAATCACACCACATTGAGTTCACACCAGGAAGAAGCTTTTTCGTTAGCCGTTGACTGCAAACCCATTGCTTTGCCCATCAAGGTTAGTTTGGTGGCCAAATTAGCTAAGCCTGCTACCCCTTATACTTGATATGATATGTCCTAGATTAATTTATACAAGTATTTGTAAAATCAAGGAGTTGATTTAGATTTTATGATGAAAATATTGGTGGTTTGCTAATGTTAATTTGGAGATTTTATAGATGGTTGATTTTGTGAAGTGTACAGTTTCGATTGACCCTGGCGGTCAGACCGGTCGTGTGCCGCCAGTCAGACCGCAGGTGTTGCGGCGGTCAGACCGGTTGGCCCAACGATCTGACCCGCAGGATCCTGATCGATGTCGGTTTCGGATTGTTTTGTTGGATTTGGATATTTCCTTCGGGGATTTGGCTTCTAGATGGTTTCTATGCGTATGGATACTGTTGTTATACTAATGTGAGTCAAGTTGGAACGAACTTGGGCTCGGAATATGGTTTCTTGGTTGTTGCATGTGTAGGTGTTGCTTGAGGCCTCGGCAGAGTGTTGCCGGTAATAGATCGGAGTCAACTTGGGAGAAGTTGATGTCCAGGGATCAAGAGATCATGCGGGATACTAAAGGTTAGAGGACAATGGACGTGGTGATGAAGAAATCCATATGGTATACAAGAGGGATTGTGTACGTATGGAAAGAGGAGTCGAATTTGGAAAGGAGTCCGAATTCGGGAAGTTTGATTGAGATAAGGAAAGAGATGAGTTGTATACTTGCAAGAGAGGGTTTCCTACGTGGGTTAGGAGTCCTAAGTTGTAATAGATTCGTGGGCTTTGCACAGTCTACCTCATGTATAAATAGAGAGGGAGGGTGAGGCCTCCTGGTATCGGTTTTAGAGAGACTAGAGTTGATAGAGAGTTTGGGTTTCGAGTTTAGTTTGAGATTTTGGTGAGGAGTGCTATTGGTGCACTTTGTAAACACTAGTTGATGCAATAAAGTCAAAAAGATTCAATCTACATCTTCGAGTTTGTCATCTACCATTGTTTCTGGGTCCCAACGGTCTAACCGCAGGTGTGTGCGCGGTCTGACTGGTGGGATAGCGGCGGTCTGACCGCAAGTATCCGGGCGGTCTGACCGGCGAGGCTTCGGCGGTCTGACCGGTGGCAGGAAGGCGGTTCGACCGGCGGCGACTGGACTTCGTCATCGACTTCGTTCAAGGGTAATCTTTAATTCCACAAAAGATTTTGGGTTTTTGGTTTTTCTTACCATTCACTCCCCCCTCTGGTAGGTTTGTTTGGTCTTGTGAGATCCTACAGTATTAAGGTTGTTACGGTGTTACCCACATCGAACACATCAGGAAACTAAGCGTGTAAAAAAATCTTTTCTTCTATCCTCTTATCTTATACTAGCAGCGTATCTATATGTATAGATGGGTATTAGAGGCACCCTAAAATACTGTAATCGGGTTTGATAATCCCCTGAGTAAAATGCAGCGTTGGTATCACAACTTACGAGGTGGGTGCAGTTTAGTCAGTCATTTTGTAAATTGCTCAAATAATTCACCCATCTTCGTTCGATGGTGCAAATCTTATTAAATACATAACAATATGGATTGTTTGTTTTTCAAATTGGAAATCGTATTGACCTAACGTCATGCATTTTTTTAAGCCATGTACTGGACAGGGCAAGCACTAAAATTACAAATTAACAATCATATTTTTCATGTATATGCTACTACTCTAGCTTTCAATGAACACGACCATATTATACTTGGCAATCAGTAACAAAATCTATTTTTAATTGGATTTTACTACCGTTAGTATTGCATGTTGGCTTATTATGGACCATGTGACCGTGTTTGCAAAAAAAAAATTAAGATAGCATATAACTTCATTGCGGACATCCCCACACGACACATGTTTTATATCATTTGCACCCCTAAAACAAAATGAGTGACTTGTTTGAGCATTCTACAAGATGGGTGACTAAATTGCACCTACCTCGCAAGTTACGGTACTAATGCTAGAATTTGGTAAGATATTTTAGTGGATTTGGTTGAGAAAAGAATGCAATCTGCTGATGGAAAACTTATCCAGAAGAAACCATTCAAGGAGGAATCATGAAGACCACGGCATGACAGTTTAATTCTATCTATTAGTTAGGCAAGATTCAATAATTTTTCTTTTATCTTTAGGAAGTGTTTATCTAGTATTCGATCAGGACTTGTAATTTTCCTTTTTTTTTCTTTAGAAAAGTGTGTTTAGTGTCCGATTAGGACTCTTAACGGCCTACGGGTATAAATATGTACACCTAGGGCCATTGCAGGACATCTTTCGATCAATACAACTTCGGCGCATCGCTACTCTTTTTATTTGTCTTTCTCAACGAGTTCTCGCTTCGAGTTGGGCTACATCGGCTTCGATCTTCGATGAGGGGTAAGGCTTGTTATGGTTGTTTGTATCGGCGGGGTTATGGTCTCAATACTCTTGGCTTGTCGATATTAACACCTATTTATCATATACTTTAGGTAATCTAAGTTGATGTTTCAATTTACCTGTATTGGCCAGATCTTTTCTAGGGTTTTGTCGGTATTAGTTATTGTTTCATCGATCTAGATTAGCAAAGGTATCTATCACCCTTAAAAACAGTCAAAGGCTTAATTGTTTAGATATTATGTTTCTTTTCATACTTTGCTGCATCAATTGGTTTTGGCCTACTAAGTCATGTTTACAACCATAATGTCTAGCCTGTTTTTTGATTGCCAATAAGAGTTTCATCGGGGTTTTAGTCAATGAGCTATCTAGGCTTTGCATCGGCTCACAAGGATTACATATAAGTTGGATTTAGCCGATGACAACAAATGTTTTATTAATTATTTAATCTTTTGGATTTAATGACATCGGACCTCTAGCCGATGTATGTTTTAACCTTCGAATCAACACTTATTCCATCATATCATTATTAGCCGATTGGTTTCTACTGATTTATATTCTTGTCTTATCACATTATCACCATTCGATTGTCTTTATATCATTGTTTACTCAAGTATCAGAATATACATTGGATATATAGCCGATTGTTCAAAACCCTATCGACATCGGCTGACATCGACGTCGGCTCTTTGTTGATCATCATAACTGGTTGGCATGTCCGCATCTAATCGACCTTAGGATCTGTATTGGAGTTAAGCAAAACTCCCCGTATCTTATTAACTTTAGGATCTGTATTAGAGCTAAGCAGAACTCCTAGAAAGTAATGTTCGTTGACTTAAGTTCGCGCCAATACATATCCAGCACCATCGGCCGAACGCTCTAATCCCTTTATTTGACGAGAGACCAGAATCCTTATTATACATTCCGTTCGCTATTTGGGTTGGTTGGGCTATAGAAAAGCCCGTGTATCGCCATTTCGCCCAGCTTCCCGGCCTTCCTTGTCCATCTCCCTTTTCTCTCCTCCTCCTCGCGTGCTCCCCGCGCCGCCTGCGCCGATCTCTCCGTCCCGCTGCCGGCGGCGCCGCGCCCCCACCCCTGCTGCTGCTGCTGCTGCTTCCGCGGCATCCTCGCGGAGCTCCCCCTCCGCTGCCGCCGATCCCCGTCCCTCGTAGCACCGGGGTGCTGGCGTCGTCCGCCCTGCTGCTGCTGCTGCCGCTGCTTCTTCTTCTCCCGCCGCATCCTCCTCCTCGCCGGTGAGCCACCCGTGCGCGCATCCCTTCCTTCCTTCGCATCCGGTCTCGATCTGGAAGAGTTTTGCTCTTCGTATTAACCTTAGTCATTACTATTAATCAGTTTGTTTGGGGAAAAAATATTTGGGGGGAGGGGGTGGTTCAAACTGCCCCACGTTAGGTCTGCCCTTTTGTGCTTTGTATGTATGTATCTCAATGACATTGTGTTGGCAGTTTTGCTATCTGTTAGATGACTGAGAACTGTAATAAAGAAAAAATTTAGTCGAATTTGCACACCGTCGAAACCATGTGGGGGATGTGTAAGATTTGTGCTCTAGTTGTCCTCTTTAGCGGCATCCTGCGGTAGGGGGATGGTGGCGGCGGCGGCACCGGATTAGGGTTCATGGTGGGGGGATTGGGGGAGGGGGTCTTTGGGCTTATAGCGATGGCTGGAGCGGTGGTGGCCGTGGTGGGGTGTTGAGGCGACACCTCGGCCTTGGAAGAGGATGAGGGCGAGTTCCGGTGATGGCAGTGAGGGAAGATTCTCAGATAGGCTAAGAGGGGTGGGTGGGTGGTTCCGGAGGTTCAAGCTGGAGGAGACAGGGGAATAAATGGGATGAGGGAGGCTCTCAATGGAGTTGAGGAGAGGGCAATGAGATAGTGGCGATCGAGGGTGGCCTGGTAGGGAGGGAGTGGTGGCACGGAGGGGCTGAAGATTGGGAGGATGAGGTGGCAAAAGAATGAGAGAAAGAGTAAGGGCTAAGTTTGTGAAGGCTGCACGTCTTTGAACAATCGTGGCCATCAAAAAGTGAGTTCAGTTGACCAATGAATAGACAACCCCTACGTTGATTCAATTGCATTTGGTAATTTTTGTGCTCTAATTTGAATGTGAAAAATTAGTACCATGCTGCAAAAAAAGAGAGGAAAATATGGTTGGAACATTAAACTTGATTCTCGTAGCACTGGTGAAGTGGTAAGGCAAGTGCAGGATAAGTTCCTCTTGCATTGCCTCTGCTTTGCATATATAAGTACCAGAGGTGAGGGGGATGGGACGGGAGTAAGTTCACCCCCGAATCCTACGCGGCAGTGTTTCCATCTCACACGAATCTACGCCGCCATCGACCCCTCTGCCTCACGATTGGCATCCTCACGATTGGCATCCTCTGTCTCAGCATCACCTGATCCGGCCCATACTAGTCACCAGCCAAGTACACCCACCCAAAATATGTGAAATGGTGAGAGTATTGTTTACATCTGACCCACCCAAAAATCCTTGTTCTATCCCCCTCCCCCCCTCGCTTCTTCACTTTCTTTCTCTTTATCCTCCGTCTTCACCCTACTTTGTACTATCCCACACAGGCCCCTCTTGCGCTAATTTAACCATTTTGCTTATCAAAACCAGATTAGAGTCTGTTCCAGGAAAATAATCTGAAACGTTGGGCCTCCGTGTATACCTGAGTGTGCATACCCCGCTCATTATACTAAGGCTGTCCCACTAGCCAGCAGAAAGTACAGAGTGAAATATTTACCCCATTTCATAGCCCTTAAATCTAGCAGGTAGACTCGATTATTTGATTTTGTCCTCTGCCTAAGACTTCCACCTTGGCCCGAGTCTCATTTGGTTGCACTGCAAAAACTACTACCTGGTTCTGAGCAGCATCTGTGCCAATTTTGGTTTGATGTGTTTATGAGACTGTCAAGTATTGATTTACATCATGGCATAAAATAATTCTAGCTATTTAAGTCATTAACATGTAATATTGTGTGACTATAGTTTTTTTTTTTCTGTGGAGGAATTGGGATGGTGTTTTTTGCAGCTACCTAGTCATCTTCTTTGGAGTTCTAGTGTCAATGGGGACATTGAAAGTTATTTTATTTGCACCAGGAATTCTGTGTGTGAATGAATTATATGAACCCCATTATTTGTTCCTGGCTCCCATATTAGCATGTGAATATGTGATAGTTTGTAGCTTGCACTCTTATGTAATAGGGTCTTTCGAAAATTTCAGTAAAACTCGTAAAGCATTTGTTCAAAGCTTCTGATTTTGTGAAAATTTCAGAAATTGTTGTAGTTGTGAGAAGTTAAGTTATTTGGTAGATCAAATCTGTTAACATTCCCTTGGTGCTAAACTGTTATCTTGCTAGAAGTAATTCTTATTTTCTGGGCCATATCTTTTACAACAGATTAGATACTTTACCAGTTCTTTTTGCATTGTTCTTTCTAATTTATTATCTGGGAACTTACTCACAGGAATTGAAATAAAGGATTACCACATTAAGGTTGAGGGTCAGCTCGTAAAGCAAATTTTCAGCAACACACTGGTATAATCTATATGTATGAGAAGTACCTTTTATTTGCAGTGCAAATATATCTTTGGCACCACAATTTATGTTGCTTGTGGTGACATGTGGTTAACAGATGACTCCAAAATGGAGTGAATGCTCTTCAAATAGTTATAGAGAATTATCTTCAAAGGAAAATGGAGAAGGGAAATCATCCATAACAGAAGCAGTGCCTTCATCTACAAGCTATTTTGGTTCACCAGCTGTCAACAGAATGTGTTCTCTATCTGCACAAAAGAAGGATGGCAATGTCTATAAAAGGAGGAAGATGGAGAAGGATTCAACTTCCCTTACAGCAAATGAAGAATTTAAAGAAATGACAGCTCAAAACTGCACTTCTGAAGATCACTCTTCATTACTGCTACCTGTTACTTCAGATGCAATGGTTTCAAATTCAACGGCACCTATCCTTGAACATGATGAGCCTGCTGGAGTTCCGCTGGTGCCAAGATCTGGTGTGAATGATAGATCTTCAGTATCTAGTATGCTGCCACCTTTCATGATGTTTGATAAAAAGGATGCTACTGAATGTTCCTCGTCAAATATTGGTTCTACAGAACCAATGACAGGCTTCACATCGGCAAGGGATCTTTGCATTGCCATACTGAGGGAAGATGGACTCATAACTGAATCTCGAACTAAAATCAAGGCAGAGGAATTGACTGGTTATGATGCCAACTTACTGTTCCAATGCAAAACTTGTGGGAAATCAGACCATCCATTAAAGATGCTTATATGTGATTCTTGCGAAGCAGCGTTCCATCTGTCTTGTTGCATCCCTCGTGTTCATGAGGTACCAACTGATGAATGGTATTGTCTGCCATGCTTCAGGAAGAAACCAAAGAGTCAGTATGGCAAGCTGTCAGAGGGAAAGGTCAAATCTTCAGGGAATATCAACCAAAGGCCTCATGGCATGAGTCATATAGAGTACATGTTAAAAGATACCAAACCATATGTTACTGGGGTTCGAATTGGTATAGACTTTCAAGCAGAAGTGCCAGAATGGTCTTGTCCTACTTCCAGGTGTGTCATATAATTGCTTTTAGTGTTGACATTTGCATTAAGAAAGATGGTAGATATAGTAAACATGCAAATTTTTTATGACAAGCTTAATATCTAGAAGCAGCTTTTTTACATGGAAACAAAGATGATTTAACTTTTGTTTTTGTTCTAGTCATGACAATCTGAAGTGCTGTAAGATACAGTCTTCCTAATCCATGAATTGAATATGATGCTAAATCATCATTATGTGAGATTGATTACTATATTTTTGTAATGATCTAATGCTAGTTGTTTATCATTCTGAAGAGGAATATTTTTTCTTATTGGACAAAAAAATGCTTGTGATTTTAGTCTGGAAACTAAGTTGCTCCTTTCCTTTGCAACATGCTTTTAACGGTATTTACTAGTAATATTGATGTTTATTGCTACTAAAAATCATGAGAGTTCACTTAAATAATTGAACAAATGGAAGAACTGCCACATACCTGGGACAACAGCAAACATTTTAAAAATCCTTATCTTATTCTTTTGAAAACATTAAGTAATCAGGGCTGGATTGATCACTTGGGGTTGTCTTTGATCATGACATGTTTGTTGGACAGAGACTGATTGTGCTGTTGTTGCAAAAAATTTGGTTCACCACAGTTTCGAACTAACTTTGTACAATGACTTTGTTTTGATCTAGAGAAGTCTTTGACATGCATATGATATCAAATCATTTCAAACATTAAGTATGTTGTAACATCCATAATGTGCCATCTGCTTGGACTAATATGAATTATGAAATAGTTCAATCTTCATGCATTTATGTATAAGCTCCACATACATGGTTGCTGTTCTACCTTGTTAATACAGTGTTTTCTCCTCAAAAGTTAAGGCTTTACCTTTTTAATTCTTGTTATTAATAGAATTTTCAGTTTTCGCATTACCATGAATAATAAATCGTACTTAGAGCCATAGAGATATAGTGTATTATTTGTTGCATTACTGGCACCAGATTAGTGTAGCTTACATTCTCGTTATGTCAGCATGTTTGTCTTGTTATTCCTTTTCTTGTAGTGGTGATGTTTATTGCGAGGAGCCCTCTGAATTTGATTCTGCTGACCTCACTAAACTGAACGTAAGATTTTTACCTTCCAGTTAAAACCATTTCCAGTATCCCCCTCACAAAGTTTCTTAAGCTAGTTCCTTGTTTATACAGTGGTCAAAAACTAATACTCAGTATAGATCTTCAATCGGTAATTGGATACAATGCTGTGAGATCTTGAGTGAAGGAGATTCTGATAAGCCAGTCGTCTGCGGCAAATGGAGACGGTAAAGAAAATTTCTGTTCTCACTTCTCAGTTGTCTGTCTCCAGTTCTATATTATTATCGGTACGCATGCAAATTATGTTTATTCTATGGCAACTCGGTTTGAGCCTATATATTTTTTTTAATCAGTGATTCCCATCATAGCTTCTTTTTTCCTGGTCACTGTATCATAAGTTTAGTGTGGTTCCATTTTTACGTAACACAAGGTCCTTAAAGGATGTTATGACTACTTAGGAGCGTAACAACTTTTTTCTGTTCGCCAAAGTAGGAGTTGGTTCAACATGTTGAACATGTCAAATTTATTCAATTTCCGGCATGATGTTGCACAAAATACAACATGCTTATATATATAAATATGATTTTTGAAGAAATTATTCATATTCTTTTAGTGAGTTTAATCCTCAAACAGGTACAGATTTGCTAATCTCTAGACTTATCTACATTCTGTTTGCTCATTATTTGTACTGTACTGAACCAATGCCATTAAGTCTTATAGTCGAGCCAAGTTGCCACAGTGGGTGACTTGTTTGATTGATCGACTAATGACCAATTGGTCTCTATTAGCCACGACTGATCTACTGGCTAGTCATCAAGTCATTGAATCCATCCTACTTCAGTCCACTTCAACTAGTAAAGTGCTTTATTATTTTTGAGTGAAGCACTAATTATTTGCATTGATTTCAGTGATCCTGCTGCTTTATGTTAGTTTTGTCTTTCCTTGTTCATATCTTATTTATCCTTGATGATATCTCATAGATATGCTTCATGGGATCTCCTGCAGGGCACCTCTATTTGTTGTTCAGTCAGATGATTGGGACTGCTCCTGTTGTCTACCTTGGGATCCAGCTCACGCTGATTGTGCTGTTCCGCAGGTAAGATTGCATTTGATTTACTAAGTAATGTATTAATTACACAAAAAAAGTGGCAACATATTTTACATGTCATAATGGACATTACTTCTGATTTCTGATCCCAAGACAGTTATCTTGCTTTTAAGAGTCACATACATTACTTCTCCATCATCAATTCTACACTTTGTTGCTTTTAAGAGCCACATACATCATTCACACATAGGGTTTAAAACAGTCAGCCTGCTCATATATTTGACCTAAGTTTTTTTTTTCCTGAAGTTATCTGCATAATAAATTGTATTCCAGACATTCCAACTCCCAAGAATTCTACTTATATCTGGGTTGCCTACTGTGCTACTCAAAACCTTTTTTTGGCTATTGCACATCTAGTAAGATCAGACACAACAATGTTTCAAAGTGACCTTTTTATCCTATTCCTGAAATTATATTGTTTGCTGTAGGAATTGGGTACGGATGAAGTTCTAGGGCAGCTGAAGTACGTGAGGATGGTAAGTTCTAATGCTACAAATTAGTGCATCTACATATGTGTTGTCACTTTCTACATGAAAATTGAAGTATGGCTGCTTTTTTTTTTCATGTGGATACAAGACTTGAAGAATTAGTAAGTAGTACAGACGATGAGTTTTTTGGGTCAGGAAAAGGGCACATTTTGAGAATAGCACAGCAATTTAAGAATTAGGTCCACACCTAGCCTGTCTAAAGAGTAAATTGCACTCGTGGTGGCGGATCTAGAAATTCCCTTGAGCCTGGGCAAGCCTAACAGGGGCTGATGTAGCATCCCCTAAAAGAAGCAGATTAAGTAGAGTTATTAAGTGATAATCCAATGTCTGATGCAGCGGAGCCTAGGCAACTGCCCGTGGTGCCCGGGCCCTAGCTCTGCTACTGCACTCTCACGGTACAACAACTCGGCAGGTGTGTGTGATCTAGTACAAGAACTTGAGAATTGAACGCCTAGTTGCAACAACTTGGCAAGTGGGTGCATTCTAGTTCAAGAATTTGACAATATTTATAGTATTTTGGTGCAACAACTTGGTTAGGGATGTTGTGCTGTTTTGGTCAACGAGTGCTAGATGAGTTATTCCATGATGTCAATATGCCATCACATAGAGCAATCCTGTGGATATTATCTTGCAATATTGGATTTAATGTATAAGAACTACGTTGCTTAACCAATTTGCACCCTTGGTTTGGATTTTTTGTTTCACTTTCTCAAATGTTAACCGAAATACAAAATTTTCTGCATAGTAAAATTTAATTGACTTGTAGTTACTAGAATGAAAAAAATAAGTATGCGTATACAAATTTGCGCAAGTATATTGACAACGAAAGTACATAAAAAATCGAATCTGTAAAGCAAAAAGATGCTTGAAATAATTAGTTCTTGCATCACTACTTAAGTTATTATACCAAAATCATACCCGCCTTGCAAGTTGTTGCACCCGTAAGCTCACTTATATATTGCACCCATTTACTAAGTTGTTGCACTAGCATACTCACTTCTCAAGTTCTTATTAAAAAATAAATATTTTTTTGACTTGTTTTATCATCAAAGAAACTATAATCTTACTCTTTTACATATTTATACTAAAATTTTGAATTAGATGAATGGTCAAACGTTATGCGAAAAGTCAATGGTGTCATTCTTTTTGAGATGGAGGGAGTACTGAACTGCACCTACTTGCTAAGTTGATGTACTGTGAATGCAATTTACTCCTATCTAAATCATCTGCCGACATCATAAATCTTTGTTCCTCTTGTGCAGTTCTTGTCATGCCTGTGTTAGTGGAACGATGTATTGCTGTACCATGTTCTTGTTTGTTAGAATTATCATCAAATTCTGTATGCATATGCTTCAATATGTTTTCAACTGAGTTACTAGTTCAGTTCTTGCATTTACTCATGCTTGGTATAGTAGTAAATCCTTTAAAATCCCTCTGTAGCAATCTTATAAAAATTAAGTAACATATAAGTTAATTAAATATTACATATAATATATCGAATATATTAATATATATTAAATATTTAAATATGTTAATTAAATATTTGTTTATCAAATTAATATATTTTAAATTAAATATATTTAGCTTATCCAGATTCGTAGTACTATAAAGTGTCCCATCCATCCAAAATCCCTTATATTTTAGGACGGAGGGAGTAGTAAATCCTTCTAGATGAGTACATAGAACTGTTACCACTTAGGGGAACTTTCTTGGCAATCATGGATAGATTCTTTGCAATTGTTGCTTTGTAAATTTTCGCCTTTTTTCTGTACATAACTCTCTTAACATATATTAATAGATAGCGCAGTAAGAGTCTCCTGCTGTTTTCCATAAAAAAAAGAAAAAAAAAACTAACCTGGGGAACCTGTGCTTCCTGTTTTTGACTGTCCTCAGATGCAATAGCTGTCAAATTTTGGTTAGGGCAATTTTATTTTCTTTCATACAGGACATTAATTAAACAAAATGCTATATGATTATTGATTTTACTATTGTCAATTGGCGAGCTAAAAATATCTGTCTGAACCTAATTTATGTAATGAACTCAAGGTTTCGAATCAACTGACATCTTCTCTTTCATGAATATTCAGGTGAAGAATCGGCTGGTTGATCGAAATCACAAGCCTGCTAACGTTCAAGGATGATACAGCAGTAATTCCTATTCATCCGGTAAAGAACGGTTACCACCCATCATGTTGTTTTGAGTGGAGCCATCTGTTGTCTATAGAGCACCTGCAAAACATGTTGTAGCCTCTTCCGTTACTTGATGCTAGCCATCCTTCTTTGTATTGTCCACGTAGGTTTAGATCCAAAAGATCTGTACGACCTTTCTACGGCGTAGGCTTGTTCACGCAGTTCTCAAAGTAGTATCTGCACAACTACTGGTTTTAGCTGCTGGCAAACAATCCTACGATCCTGCAACCGATTTTGGTTGATGTAGTTTTTGGAACATAGGGGGGAGACAGGAGCATTTGTAACGGCATTTAGTATTTTGTGAGCATTTCTCTAATGCTGCTGCTGCCGGCCTGGAAAGGAATGCTGCTTGGTGGTATTCCATTTTGTAATGCCTGTTGTTTGTAGAAGCAGTAGATATATATCGAGTTCTATGCAGCCCAGAAGATATCTTGCATAGGCAGCCATCAGCTTGTACAAAGGAAAAAAACAAAACATTTTGGATTTTGAAGTGCTGCGTTTTTTTACATATCTTTCAGGCTACACATGTACTATCTGGAAGTATTTCAGAGTTTTTTTTTGGGGGGGGGGGGGGAGGGGGGTGGGGGGAATAAACGTATTTATTTGTGCCATAGAAGCTCCCATGTGGTTTCAAAAACTTGAGTTACGATCTGTAGCTGCATAACTTCATGTATTCCTGTAGATATACGGCCTTAAAACCAATAGCTATATTATCTATACTCTTTATAAAAGAGAGTATAAAAGAAAGTAGTGGTGTGGTGGTTTTGCCACCATCCGCATTACCAACTCCCAACTTTTCTTATGTAAAAAGTGACATGTTAACTGTTCTTATCAACTCTAGTTTTAGAAAAATAATATTAGTGTAGGGCTAAAAATGTTCACATGTGATTAACAAATATGTACAACAATTAAGAACTAATAAAAACATGTTAATAATAATTTTCTTCAATTAAAATCCCATTGTGACGCAAGGGCAATATGCTAGTGGCCTTAAAACCTGCAAAGCAATAGGTTCCAACAGGTCGAAATTCAGTGAAGAACACTGAATTTGTGGACTTGTGTTTGATGGAATTTGATGGTACTCATGCATATTGGGTTTCGGAGGTATCAAGAACTGACACATTTGTCATCTCTTTAGATGTGCATTTCTGTTGAAATGGCAAGCAGGAACTATTATTTACAAATGCACATTCGAGGAAATGATAAGCACTAGTGTCAAAGCTGATGTATACTACGGACGTGGCTTGCCTGTTCCTGTGGAGGGTATGAGAGTAGGTACAATAGTAGACTATAAGCCAGCTATAAACACATATTGAGAAATAAAAGAAGTAGCCATAAACACATCGAGAAGATGAAAGAAGTAGCCAGTTGTAGCATGAGCTACAAGACACTATGTGTATGATACGTGGGGCCAGATATTAATAGTGTAATATATATTTATAGGTAACTAATTAGTTATAAATTATTTGGAGCTAATAGTTGACTACACTATTAAACTTGGTCTGAGTTCGTCGTAGGCTGGTCACGCAACCAAACTCCCATTTTTCTCGAAGTTCTTTTTTTCTCTCTCTTCTGGATCCTTGCAAAACAACATGTACTTTCTTAAACAACATGAACGGAGGGAGTAGCAGACTAGTGGTTGCAGTTGCTGGTAGTCTTAAATTTTATAGTGGTTGCAGTTGCTGGTGCCGTCTTAAATTTTACCCAGGAGTAATAAGAAGGCTTTGTTATTGCCACAGTATTTTCTTGTTTATTTTTTTTAATCACAGAAATCAAGTGACTGCATCCAAACTTGAGGACAAAAAGAAAATTCCGTCGTGTGAACCTAAGCCTCTATAAATAAATTGGACACACTACTCGTGTTTATTGAAGGAACTAATATATGTTGCTACTATAGGTTCCTTTCATAAATGCAATCTGTTGGGGCATTTGAGCATAATTTTCTAGCCTGTTGTTTGCATCGACAAGTATAGCCAGGTTCGAAGGGCCTGTACAGACTTGACCACATTTGGTTTCCTTTGTTGTCCACTTGATCAAATTACCTTAAACTCTGTCTTTTAACAGGCAGCAGAATATATTGCACTGAGAGCCCAACTGAGGGTGCAGCAAGAACATAGTGCTAGGAGTTCGTGAGAAGAAAAAGAGCCGCACATTACAGCAAGAGTTTTCATGGGTTGTGTTCTTGACTTTCATGAATTGCTGGGCTTGGGAGTTGTCAAGAATTTGAACATACTAATTTACTCAACAATGTCTTCGAGAGTTCGAGTCTCAAGTAACTTACATGGGAATACTGTTCACTCTTCTTTCGTTTCGGTCTGTAGATTAAGTTGGGTGAGTCTCCCCTACTTCGAAGTCTGAGACCGCTTCGTTCCGCGCATATCTCGCACAGATGGATGGATTTTCATGTGTGTTTGTTTTGCTTCAGCAAAATACTACTAGTGTCATTTAAAAAAATGAATTTATTATCAAATTATATTGGATATATTTTATCTTACATATGACAAATCTTTTGTAACAAATTTTGTTTTTTCTTAGATAACTATAACTAATTTTGTTTATTGACGAAAACCCACCATTTTTTAAAAAATATATATACATGTAACAATTTTACATACAAACTTTCTATATACAAACTTTTTATATATAAACTTTATACACGCAAACTTTTTAGGTATAAACATTATGTATATGTATAAACATTGATAGAAAAATAAAAGTATGATGTATGGGGAAAAAAACTAACGTTATTTTCAGCCCATAAATTGGAGAGGAAAAAAAATATCACGGACCTGATGTATGTGAAAGTGCAGGTACTACGTCACAGCCTTCTTGTTTTATTTTTCGGCGCCACTGGTTGTGATGGATGCTAAACTGTGCAAAAATTGTAAACGGGCGGGCCAATCCAACCGCACGCGTTCACCCGCATAGCCAAAAGTGAAAAAAAATAACCGCGATGACAAAAAAGCACCTGAACAAAATTGGTGGGTGGATCCGATCGCGCGCGTTACATGCTACGCGACCGATCGCTAAACCGAATTCGCTAATGCGCGACTGACTGCGCGCGCGCCCTCCCGCGCGGCGAGGCACGTGGCGCGCGCGGAGAGGGCTGCGGCGGCAGCGCGTGCGCAGGTGGGGCCCGGGTGTGTTTTTCGTTTCTCTTTCCTGTTTGGTTTTTTTCTTTCCGGTTTTTCTTTCCTGGTTTTTTTTCTGGTTTTTTCCTCCTTTTTTTCCGTTTTGGTTTTTTTAACATATACGTGTACAACTTTTTATACGTACTTATGCATACTTTGTATACGTGTATACAAATTTTATATACGTCATATATAAAGTGTGTATACACGTATACAAACTTTATATACGTCGTATATAAATTTTATGTACGCGTATACAAACTTTGTATCTTGTACGTATCCAAACCTTATATTGTGGACGATTTTTTTGTTTCCACCTTTGTTTCTGGTTTTTTGATTTTTTTTCTTTTTTTCCTTGTGGGTTTTTTTTGGTTTTTTCGTTGTTTATATGTACGTGATACAAAGTTTCTATTCAAGTATACAAAGTTTATGTACGCGTATACAAACTTTGTATCTCGTACGTATACAAAATTTATATGTGTACAAACTTTATTTACGTGATGTATTTTTTATTTTTTTGATTTTTTAATACATACATATATAAAGTTTGCATACGTTGTATATAAACTTTGTATACGTATAGAAAAGTTTATATACATGTATATATATATTTTTTAGTAGCACTAGTAGTATAATAATACCACTAGTAGTAGTACTAGTTGCATATAGAGTAGTGCTACTACCACCACCTAGCAGTAGCAGCAGTGCTAGTAGTCCTAGCTGCGCGCGGGGCCCACTAGCAGAAGCAGCGCTACTAGGCTAGTAGTAACAGTAGTAGTACTAGTAGACTCAACTAGTATTGGTAGTAGGGGGGTGAACTGGTCGCGCGCCCACGCCCCAGCGCGACCCGCATTAGGGTCCCCCTCGTTAAACAACCTTTTCGGATCAAGTTGAGGGCTGAAATTTGGGTACTCCGATGTTACCAACTTTCAGAGCTACTTGCATACGTTGCCATTTTTCAATTAATAACATCTTATTTTTGTCCTCCATTATCTTAGTTTCTTTTTGTGAGGACTGGTATGATATTTTCAGGAGAGAGGCATACACCTTGTTTGAACCTCGATCAGTGCCATGCCATGTAAACAGAAGCCACCATTAGGACAACGAGACCTAGGTCAGAACAAGTATTTCAAAAGGGTGAGAGGTTAGGCGTGTTCAGAAGCTGCAAACTAGTGCTGTTCATGCATGAAAACCCAAGTTGCCCTCCATTTAATTTGTTGTCTAAAACAAGAGAAAGGTCATAATTTACATGAACATTCCATAGTCTTATTAGTAAGATGATGTAGAGCGAAAGATTTGCTAGGTGTGAAATCCCATTGTATTTGAGTCACAGTAATATGTTATTTATCATAGGTCTGAGAAGCATTGGGAGGTAACTCATGGCTGAATGTCCTGGGATGACCAAAGATGTAGACGTTAGGAGGCACACAAGGGATGCACACCTTCCATTTACACCGTCCAGCAGTGATGTGACATTTTTGGTCCAACAGAAAGACCTTCCACTTCATACGTTTCTTTAATTAGTGAGGCAAACTGTTGGTATAGCCCATGCATCATTTTAATTCGAAATTCTATTCAGTTCAAGCAAGTGAACCTAAGTTTAATAATTTTCCTTGCGCAATCACTAACCACTGCTATGATGCTATGAGCAAGCAGCTAGCGGACACCATTTAAAAAGAAAAAAGAGCAGAGATGTAAAAGGCAACTGAATTTGAGCAAACTACTCCAGTGCATACTATTCACGGACCCAATAGTA